GAAAGACAAGGCTACAATGGCGATTTCACGGGTCATCTGAAACCTCTACTTGATTTCTATGCTTGGAGTCCCAGCTTTTTCTTTGCAGCTCTCTTTTTACCTAAGACACTGCACAGTCTTGCAAGATGAACTTCAGGACAAGGCACAAACAGCAGCAATTCAGAGTTGCAGAGATGAGTCAAGATGTGCAAGGTGTGGATATGGTGTGGATCCAGGTGTATCTCAGCCAAGCCAAGGAACTGCCACTCTTGTCTCTGGCCTCAGAGGTTCCCACCTTCGCACGTTCAGAAATTCTGTGCTCTGGACAAGGGAAAAAAACGGGGTCATTCCAATCCGAACCTCAACCTGTGATACGTGGCTGGAACAAATCTGACAGTGTACAATATCTATGTATCTACAGTACGCGTATGTATGTGTGTGTGTGTTTTCTTAATTTCGTATTCAGTGCTGATTGTCCCCTCCACTGCACACCAAGCCTGGGGAAAAAAAAAGGAAGGCGTGTCACATCTCTGCGCCTGTCCTGTATAAGGAAACTCTTGGCGGGTGGGTGAGTGGGTGGGTGGGTGTGGGTGTGTGTGTGTGTGCGTGCGCGTACGTGCATGAACGAGTGGCAAGTTGATATCAGTTGGGCTGAGTTCAACTGGCGTGAAGTTAGCAAGCAAATGCATTAAACCAGAGAAAGTGGGCAAGTGGGCAAGTGAGCGAGTGGGTAGGTTTATAGGTCCATTCAATAAGTTAGTTCCTGAGTCATTGATTTGTGAGAGCACCTGCAACAAGGAAGCTTCTTTCTAAGTGTAGTTTAGCAAGAACAATTGCCATTTCCAGCCTGCTGTCAAGTTAACTCCAAGTATGCCCAATTCTCATCAATTCCCATCAATTCTTTTGAAGGTAATCTGAGTAATCAGTAGAAGGTTGTACCTCAGATCTCATTGATCGCTTGCTTTGCAAATTTGCAGATCTTCATCTTGCAGATCTCATCTTTTGCTTCATCTCTTGCTTCATCTCTTCGTGTGCCTCCAAGATGTCCTCGATCTCTTTACTTTCCTGCGACATGATACACATTGTTCAGGTTGAGTTGATCTCGTGATCACTATATATCACAATATATCACTCTGTTTCAAGAATTGCAAGCCTTGGACTCTGGCTTACATCTTCAACCAAACTCAGATCAACTCCCGATACATCGCTTCGGCCAGCCAAAAAGTTCAGAAATCAGAGAGTCAGCCGATGGCTCAAATTCCAAAACCATCTCTCACAAGATGCTCAGGCTCGTAGGAAGAATGAAACCAGCTCACAAGAATCATAGAGCAACAGCCAAACACAATTGTCAAGGATTAAAGGAAGCTGAGAGCAGCATGAACGGGAGAAGGAAAAATACTTGCACATCATTCCGATAGACATGCTTGCTAAAGACCGCGATCCGCAAAACAAGCAAGCTGGCAAAACAAACAAGACTACTGTAAACAAAAACAAGACTAAACAAACGAAATAGATCAAAATATGTTAATAATTGTTAATATATAAATATGTATACAGGAAACTTATACATCAGGCCAACACTGACAAAAAAAACATACAGTACCTACTTTATCCTACTTTGAATGTCGTTGACCACTGGCGGTGCGGTGCAAAGCACAGCTGCACGCTCTGTTGCATGTCGCTGCATTCTAATTCTATTCTATGACGTTACACAAAAGCGCGTTGCGTTACAGTTGCGTTCCCTTTTACTCCATTGGATTGCAGTACATAGCATCACCACCATGCACGACATGACGTACAGAAACATTCCGTGCGTATTCATGTACATTCATTTGTACATCAATACTCTCATTGATATGCTCAACGACTCAACGAGTCATGTTGAAGCAATGACGCTTCATATTGCTTCATTGTGTCTCCTGTGTGGAGGTGGACGGATCTTCACCAGATTGTGCCTGACAGGTGCTAACTATGCCGTAAGGATCACGCACTCGCAGCTGTGGAGCTTGCACTCTGAAGGTCTTTGTCATGAATTGTCATGACTGAGGAGTCCACTCCAATGACTTCGGGTTTTGGAGCAAGGTCAGTTAGGTCCTCAGAATTCGCAATGCAGCTGCGAACATGTTGACACTTCATGCCGAATTCGTTCGTGCATCGTCCTCATCATCCCCAAAGAGCTGTTCCTTGAGGCGCAAAGACTCCCCACATGACAGAAATTGCAACTACACTGTAACTTACAGTAACTAACTACACCTCACTGAAGATGGCCGGAATATGCCAAGAATATGCCAGAGTGTGCCTTCGAAGCTTCGATGGAATCACTCTCCCGGACCTTGCGCTAGGGTGGCTATCAGTCTGGCTATGAGTCCAACATAGTCCAACTATGCAATTCGTTGCCTCCTTATGCGCAACAAGAACCGAGGTCAGGACAGTCAAAGTGACATCGGTCGGTTCTATCATTGTGCTCCTCTGAAGTTCAACACTCGGTCCTCCTCAACACCTGCAAGACAGTTGAAAAGGAACGGCTGCCCCACAACAGGCATCTGTTGCTTGCACAGGCACATTCAGCTCCAGTGCTTACAGTATATGATCCACAAGCCTCTGCTCTCTTCGGGCATCGTCACACCATGAGCATTCAAAATCGACGGAGTTAGGGCAAAAGCTCATGCTTCGCAAAATCGGCATCATTCATGTAGTGAAGCTTTCAAGCATTGTGACAAAGCAGTGAAATTGCATACTGTAGGATCTCTTTCTTAAGCAATTTGATGCAATTTGTCTATGTCTCAGGTCCCATAGTATGCCATAGTAGAATCATGACCACGTGTGAGCAATGCGACTGCATGTTTTAACCAATGCAGCTACGAGGATGCTGCCTGCGAGGATGCCACTTTGATACACGTTAATCACGTTATACATGGTCACAACATGTCACAATGCGCAGATTACTGATGCAAAGTCGGAAAGGATTTTTCTTGGCACATTCAATTTGCTTGCGAATTAGGGCCACGCGGCCACTTCTTTACATGTTACATTGAGAGAGTGGCCAAACAAAAGTTAGCCAAAGTTTGCTGGACAAATCCCGATAAGGGGATGGAAACATTCTGCCCATGAGAACAGTTGAATGTGCTATCAGGCACTGCAGCCTGTTGGAAACTGATTCCACCATAGGTGGCATTACACTTCATCACTTTCAATGAAGTCTGGCTCACCCTGAGGTCGAGTGCCTAGGGCATTGAAAGAAGCGATTCAAAGATTCATAATTCGTAATATTCATTAAATAGTCATATCACGTGGTGACTTGACGCATGTGCCACATGTGTGCACAATATCAGAACTGGCTTAGCCAAGTGCGGGCTGGTGGGCGACGAAGTTTTTCCCTGTAGAAACAAGCTTAACAAAGGTTCAACAAAAGCGAGCAAAGGTCTCAACCCATGCTGGGCAGAGAAAGGGCAAGGGTAGGAGGAAATTCTGCAACGCAAGCAGACAGGGCAAAAAAGCGTCAACCGTCAACCAATGTGTCCAGTTTCAAAGCTGGTACAAGTACGATGGTGCATCATGGTGCAATCATCTTACCAAAGGTTCTGGGAGGGAACCAAAGGAGAAAACCAACCTGTCACGAAACAGAACTGCCGAGTCGGCCACTCTGCTGAGTCTGAGTCGTCACTTGAGGTTTCTTCGCCTTTCCCACTGAAACCGTCCGACTTTTCTCACTATCCATCATTGTGATGCTGGTAGCTTCGCAAACGTGTCTTGAGGGTGCCGGTCATGGTACAAACATGCTCAAAGAACATATTTAAGAAACAAAGACCAGAGAGTAATGTGAATAAACAGCACTCAGGTCTAGATTGTACCCAACATGTGAACTTCTGCAATTCAACTTGCCGTCTGATGTAACCAAGCTCATGGCTGGAAGACGCAGGCATGTTCTGGACCTGGCTCTCTTCTTGCTATGCGACGCAACCCCCTGTGAACCTGAATCGTAAGCTGCCCCTCATCGTAAGACTGCAGTACAGTTCGTGTTTGGTACAATTCACATCTCACGTCTATCTTGTAAGATTTCTTGCGATTAAGAATCATATAGAATCATATTTCTGTATTAATGATTTATTAATGCACATCTTGCACACAAAGTTGGATGACCTCAGCACGTCTTAGACTTGGCACTTGCTGCATAGGCGCCGCAGATGTAGGAGCCCCTTGGCAATGGATGCAATGGTAAGGAATGTTGCTGAATCTTCCGTGTTTCTACAGTATCCCAAACACCCACAAAGTACGGAGGCCTGATTCGGTCAAACAAAGGTCTAATCAGATTTCAACACCAACTAATCTCTGGAGCAAGAAAGAAAAATGCTAAGAGTCTCTTTCAAAGTTTCAAGATGTTTCAAGCATCTTAATATCTTATATAGAAGATTTTGAAAAAAATGTGAGGTCAGAACGTTCGAGGCCAGGCTGTGACCTCGTCTCACAAGAAGAGCACCGATGCAAGTGACTGGATGCTTCAAGCATTATAAGATTCGGATAAGATTCAAATAAGATTCGGTATTTGAATCTATATGTTATATATTTGAATTTAGTTTGAATTTATTTGATGTATTTGTTCATACTTTTTCTGGGCATCTCCGGACACATCGCGCAAATCGGGGCCAGAGCAATGTTATGAGTATAGTATCCGCTGTTCAACTCGCGTGACAGGGCGTGACAGTGTCCAAAGTGCTAAGTCTGCTAAGTCATGGGCGTGCCTGTCCTCGGCAGTTGCGGTGGGGGTGGCTTTGTCCTGCCAAATCAGCCCAGCCAGCCCATAAGCTCGTTGACTTTGAAGTATCCCATCGCAACGGTGCCGCAGATCTCAACTGTTTGAAGTGTTCAGAGTGCCCGAGCAGCTCAAGCAGCTCAAGCCTTTGTGGAGGAGGCGTGCTCGGAGGAGGCCTCACCAAATGCAGACCCTGGCTCCGTCAATATCTTGTGCAGAGATTATTTCTGAAACATGTGGGATAGGATAAGAATGTGTTCAAAATGTGTTCATCAGTGATTGGCGGGGCAAAAGAACAAAAAAAACGAACGACCAAAATCGACCAAAACATTCCATTATCATCATCTAGTGCCAAGCAGCGGAGGCTGACTGCGAGGAAAAAGGCATTGAAAAATGCTTCGTGATCGCCTTTGGAAATGCACTTGCTGGTGGAAGAAACCGACAAGGACAGAAGTATCGGCGGCATCCAAACATTTGGTGCAAGCAGGGACTTGCTGTACAGTACCAACAAGCCAGGGATGAATAACATGATTCTTGAGCTTGTTGAGATGTTGAGAAAACACTGCAAAAGCGCACTCGCAAGGATGTTCGGGGTCACCCATGCGCGCTTGAAGGCGATGATTAAGAATGATTAAAATGATTAGGTTGTGTTTGACTTGTTTGATGCCATCTGTATTTTCCCACACCCAAAGTTTCCAAGTGTGAAGCTTGCCGCCACTTGCCTTGCAGCATCCAACTCCATAAGGAGTTCTTCTTGGCGTAAGGCTTCAGTGTGCACCTCAAACAGTTTAATTTCTGGCTTCTGGAGATCATGCTTGAGCATGCTTGAGCACTACTCTTTTGATGCTCTACAGTAGATGCAGCAACGCCTTTGTGTGCTGCTTGTTGCAATGCGCCTCTTCATTCAGAAGATCTCTCTCTTTTTTCAACTCCAAAGCAATGTTGTCCTGGAATTTGAGCGACTGAGAGAGAAATACTGCTAGCTCGTAAACTGCTACTGTGCCTGGAACACAGAATGACAAAAAATGAAACCCAGCGCGCGACTTCCCATCTCTCCTGTCGACACTGAAGGATGTCCTGCAGAGAAAGCTCTTAAGCTTAAGCTTTTGTCCTCACGCCCTCTAAGCAGATCTGCAGGTAACTAGAAAAACAATGAAAAACATATTATATATATATATATACATAAAGAATTAGGAACGAATTAGTAACGAATTAGTGAAGAAGCATGTGCAGCATATTCCTGTGGGAGTCAAAGCCTTCCACCGCTTCCTCAAGCTTAGCCCAAGCCTCTCTCAGACGCTCCAGCTGCTTTTCAAAGTCTCTAGTTCGCCTGCATGACAGTGGCAGGTGCAAATTGAAGCCAAGAACAAGAAAATTGAACCCTATCAAAGTATATCAAAGTGACATCTTTGGATTTTTCTCAAACCGCATCATGTCAACACTTGAATTGTTGAGGAATAACACCAGCTGTCCTCCTAACTCCTTCCACCTCAGCTTCCTTTGCACTTGCACGCTCCACCGCCTACACCAGAGATAGAAAGAGATAGAGGGAATGCCCCTGCCACGAAGAGACCAGGTTTCAACGTTTCACAAGAGATAGAGGTTTCACCTCTTGGAACCATCGTGCGGAATGTCCGACGGAATGTCCGACATCTGACAGTTTCAGCAGGGGTCAGTCCTCTGCAGCTTCTTCCTGCAGCACCGGCCACTCGCACCTTCAACCACTGCATTGCTGAAGTGCTTCCAGACTGTCTGCGAGATAGACATGATTTTTGCCGGCCCCGAGCGCTTTGAGGGACAATTCCTGTGCTGGGACATACATGTATGTATCTATGCATGTACATGTAGCTCTCTCAGCTCAAACGGCAAAACAAAAATACGTGCCAGAAGGGCCCAACAGCTCCCAAGGCTGCCATGGCACGCTGCTTGTTGTCAGAGTTTTCCTGGATTTCCTGCAACTCAAGGTGCGGTGGTATCATGTTGTGACTCACGTCATGTTGTCACTCAATGTCACTCATGTTGTATCTAGTTCTCTACTCGTCGTCCAAGAGGAGCATAACGACACCTCCGTGACTTCTTGCAGGCTGTGGCGGAACGCCTCCGCCTCCTGCTGGCAAATGGCGGCCTCACATCCGATTCTGAAGATTGCAGCGAATCTGGTCAGAAACGAAGGAGGTAGTGATGTGTAGTGACAGTGTAGTGGTATGTAGACGCTCAGCGGTGGAACATGATGTGATGGATAGGCCTCTGCATTCAAATGCTGCCGCAATCTGGACTGCTCGTCATGAACGCCTTCAACACAGTATCAGAGCAGGGCAAAGCAGTCAATCTAAGCTGTCCAACTGTGCAAAGTTGAGTCCAGGCAGGCTAGCGGCTAGGCAGTCTACCCTCTAGGCCGTCTAGGCCGTCTAAGCTCAAAACTTTGCATCTGGCTGGGAGAAGCTACAGAGCTCTCCTCACCATCTGACTTGTCGGCCATGTCACTGCACTTTGGGCAGTCCATTTTTACAAAAAGACTTGTTAATTATGTACGTATGTGTGTGTGTGTGTGCTTTCTCTCTTTGGAAGAACAAAGAAATTTCAGCCACTCCCAGAAATGTCTCACACTATTCCTGACCAACAATCAAATACATGTCCTTTCTGCTCACACTCAGTCACTCAGCTGCCTTTTGGCGTAGCTGCATTGCACACAGGATCTCGTCCGTTCTATGCACAGAGCCCTGATTTAAACCAATCCTTGATTCGTTCCCATGCCAGCAGCTCCCTCTCACCAGCCACCTGCAAGAGTTTCGCTTGCATTGCATCAGTAACTCTCCTTGCCCACCATTGTTTTGAATTGTCAAGTTGCCGAGGTTTTGTTGCATGTCTAGAACAGGGAGTCAAAGAAATCATCGCAGCCAAAGCCGTTTCTACCTCCAATTCTGCTCGACCTTCCCGCTCAGCAGCTATGTGTTCACGCAGCTCAGCCTTCCAGTTTGCAACGAACCCTTTAAGTTTGGAGTACTTCAAAGGCAGCAATGCTATTAGGCCTATTAGGCGGTTCTGGTGCTCGCTATGTCTTGGAATTACATGTACGTACTCTGAAAATGTCAACCTTGATCAAGTATGTGTCGCGCATCATATTGTACATAGTGCGTTTCAAATTAAACCCAGTGCAAAATAGAAAGTCGGCGCTAACAAAATCCGGGCAAATCAATGCCTGGACTTTCAGCGCTGACTGTAGCTGGGCCTTTCAAACGGTTGACATCCGAGGATATCCGACAGCTTGACTATGCTTGACTTACAAGGGTCTGTTTTTATCTGTTTTTCACGTTAGCTGTCTGGTCTGGGCCTGCAGAGAATCTCGAACAGCAACCATGGATGCCAATTGCTGATCAGCTGCCTCAGCGTCGTTGTCTCGTTGTGAAGTCCGGGGCCCGTTGCTTTGCTTTCATGCAGGTCATACCGTCTGTATATAGAGACAAAGAAAAGGTTTGTCCAAATGCGAATGCATATATCATATATCTGTATGCGTGTGTAAAAGGTGGCTTCTAGTGGAACGTCAATTGCAGCAGAGAGTTTTTGCATTCATGCCAACGTGGGTGTTTACTATCAAAAAGGCAGCAACCAGGCATTGTTACCAATGTTGACAAGAACTTGCTGGATGCTGCCGAAAGAAAGGAAAAGCTACTGGCAAATTCAAAAATGAACCATCCAAGCGACACTGCCATTGCCTTTTGCAGTTGTCAATCCTATGTGCTAGAGTAGACAGCAACCACATGTTGTGTATAAGGGAGTCAAGACTCGTATGGGCAATATCGTGTCAAGAAAGATTTGGACCGTGTGGACCCAAGTTCGTAGATGTCCCCAGCCTCAACACGGGAACTTGCTTCGGCTTCCTCATGCATCAAAGTTGCCTTGCATGAAACCAGGAAGGCTGCATCACTGCAAAATACTGCACATCCCCAGTTGCAAAGAGAAAGAAATGCTTCGAAGAAATATGAAGAAATGGCTGAAGAAGTTGAACGTCTCAATGACATTCAATGACCATCACAATGAGCATGCTCAGCATGATCCGCATAACATCGCACAACCACGTTTGAGTTGTTTGAACTTTGTCATTTTTGAGTCCTTTTTCAGGTCGGGTTTTGTTTTGGGCTCGAGAATTTCTGCGCCTGCAGTTTTTGACGCTGGGATTCTTCGCTCATGAGTTCGCCTCGTAGGGCTGCACCTCGTTTTCCAAGCCAAGCAGCAGTTTTGTGTCACAAAATGTCAAAATTCACAAAAATCACTAACTTAATTGACTCAATTTATATTGATATCTCTTGACATCTCTTGATCCCTCTGTAGGTCTTTTGACAATCTCATAGAGTCACATCAATTCGTTGGATTCTACCGAATACCCGCTGATTCTCAATCTATCTCCATTTTGTGCCGACGACTTTCCTCAGCATGTGTCCTTCTTTCCCGCTGCTTTTTCCTGCTATAGGGGGTGCCCTTGTAGGTGGTTTTGGCTGCTTTGATGTTTGTTGGTTGAATGCTGAATGCTATGGTGCTTTTAGCGTTTGTCCTCAGGTAGCAATCGCTGTTCAGATTGACACTTTGTAAAGAGGAGAAAGTGAGCTGTCTGCGCTTTTCGTTGTGGTGACTGCTGAGATGGGTATCAGTGCAAGAATCCATAGATACTGCTGCCAGTATCATGCAAGCTCTTTGTGAACGGTGCTGTCATGGATGCCACATTCCCTCAGTTCTCTCGCAGAATAGGAAAAGGATTGAAAAGGCTTTAGTATTCAGTGCAACTCTTTGCATTGAACTAGTTCAGGACTCTGTATAACATCTTTCGGCTGTATGGGCTATGCTGGTATAATTTGTGGCAAACATCTGTGCACAAGGTATTCTACATTGACTTAAATGCGGCTTTAGTGTTGTGCGAGAACTCCATGTGCTTTCACTTCGATTACACTGCGATCGCTTATGATTGCTTTTAATTTAAGTATTTTTTTGCTTGCTTGATCGCTTATGATGTCTTGTGGTTTTTTGAGATTCTTCTCACTTTCGACGGGGCACGCTCTGTTGCTGCGTCCTGAAGCTCAGCAGCAATAGCGCTCCTTGCATCAGCAAGGCGCTGCGTCAATAGCCCAACGGTCTGGCCCTGCAACGAAGGAGAACATGAGCTGCACAACATCGCACAACAAACACAGCAAAAAACACAGGCCCTAGCAAAGAAACCCTTAAAAATGCATGGCTTTCATCTTTAGATCCGCTCACAAGACTTTTGTCCTTCACGAGATTTGGCTAACACCGCAGGCTCCTGAGATGGTTTTTTTTGCTGTTAATCCATGCGCTTTTGATGCTCGCTTGTTCGTGATTGGCTGTGGCCTGCTCATCTGGTTCTCAGGTGCCACAGGTTTTCACAAGTCTTCATGAGCATCACAATTGAATGTTTGTGGTAGCCATGTGCCCTTTTGCCTGCGCGTCCGCTTGCTACGCTTGTGTAGAGGAACAAAACGTTTGTCCAATGTGTTCGTTGAATTGGTTTGTCAAGGGTGTGTGCATTTTTCATGCCAACTCTGACAAAACCAACTGAACAAAGAAGTCGTTGTTTTGTGAACAGGATAGCTGCAACATGCTGCGACCCTGTCCCATTTTGCAATCAAGAGTTCCACCTGTTCATGGCACCGATCACGAAGTTCGCGCATCTCGCTGGTGAGTTCAGTCTGACCAGGGAGCAATTGATTCAGAAATACTAGAAATACATAGAAATACATAGAAATATATAGAAATACTTACTAAACAAATAAAGAGGGCGATGCCCAGATCCACCCCCATCCACCTATTAAAGAAGGAAGCAAAGTGATGAGGCCTGAAGCTCATCTGCTGCGTGCTTTTCAGTTTGCAGCTGACGTCTCAGGTCCTTCAGTACGTTGACGAAGAGAGGCAGGCATGACGTCATATCACCTCACTAGCTTTTTTTTAGTTCTAAGCCCTTCGAGTGACTTGGTGAACCCTGTCTTCAGCAAATCCAGTATAGTATTTTGACATGTGCACAGGCGAGATGTCTGTCCTCCTGTTCACAGCGCAAGCGCATTCTCTGGTTGGCGCCCGCCTTTCCAGTTGTACGACGCTGATAATACCAATGATACCAATGATACCCATAACTAGCATAACATCCCCTAACCGTATTCCTGGCGGTCCTGGCCCATACTGCCACCGTATTGACTGACTCAATTTCCCTGCAGGCCTTCGCTGCAGCAGCCAAAGCTCCATTCTTCATCCACTGAGCTGATTTTAAGCCTTGCACCTCGGCCGGTACTGCGGTATGTTGATATGTAGAGCCTGTAGAGCCTGTAGAGCCTGTAGTGCTGTGTAACGCGATGTAACGGGATGTAGTGCTGTGTAGTGCTGTGTGGCGCAATGCGATCTTCAAGCACTGGCAGAAAATCCCTGAAGCTTCAAGCCATGGCATCAACGCGACGTTCACGGACCTCAACTGAGTGTCTGTGTCTGTGAACTGTGACAAGGATTGAAAAGATTGATTCAGTTTCTACGACACCGCGAATACAACCAAGTCCAAGCCAATGCCTTCAACAAATTGGAACACAACGATTACAGCACAGCAGCATGACACTTCATGACACGTCAACCACTTCAACGACCACTTCAACGACCTAAGCCTCGAGCAGCCGAGTGTAAAGGAACCCTGCGACTCTCCTGGACCTACGGAGGTTTAGACAGTGATAAATTTACCAAGAATATTTAGGAAAAATTTAGGAAAAACGATAACATGTCATAATTGTAATTCAATGAGCATTGAAAGATTGAGACAAAACACATACCTATATTATCCTATATTGATTTATATCTAATTTTAATGGAATTCGGAATTTGCATACAATTGTATACTGATTCAAATCTGTCTCCAGTCTCGGAATCATCAAATTTCCCAGACTGCTTCTCTGCAGATCGGTGCCTGCTGAAATTGGACACTGAATTTTGCCTGAAGAGGGATGAACAGGCTGAAAGAAACAAAACCAAAACAAGTAAAGGGACCAGTAGCCACTCAGCTGTTTTCCAGTACCCTTTGCAGCTGCCTTCACGAAATCATTATCGGACAGACACATGTGCGATCCTGAAGACAAGACCTGCACAAGTTGTCCGTTGACATTCATCAACACCAACAAAATTGAGCAACTAATGCTGCATTCGCTCAATGTTGGGATGCGTTTGCCTCAGCTTGCACTGGCGTTTCATAGTTCGTTGCCATATGGTCAACCAGCCGTCCCTCAGGAGAGGTAGATCCAACCTTTGCACGGCAGGATCATTGGGACATGACACGAACAGGACAGAATCATACAGAATCCACACAAATACGACACTCCACACGTCACTACACTCCTCACCATGCACTCACCTGGAAGTGGTCATATGCGAGTTTCCACCGGTGATCTGCCAGGACCTTATCAAAGTGTGTCTTGTCGGAACATGTCCAAACACTTTCTTTCGCTCATGTTTACCGTAATGTTTACTGCTTTTCTTTCTTTCAGTTGGTTCAACTGGCACAAGCATGCTCGGAACCCAGCATTGAAAGGAGAAGCCAAGTAGTCCTCAGCCCCAACCAAAAAATAGAAATAGAGGCCACAAATGAAAACATGATCAAACATGGCAGAAACTGCAAGCCGCGGCCTGGAACCGTTTACGAAGCTCGTCTGTATGAAAACCAGAATTCGATGCATCTGGAACCTGATCAAAACCATGGAAACCCGTGGAAAACCCTCAGACATCTCAAACACTAAGCTTCATCTCTGCTAACTTCTTTGAGCTGTCTTCTTGACGTTTGGAGACTATCTATTGATGTGCTAGAATAAACTTCAACTTCAAACAAAGAATATTATATAAATATGTCATTAACCCAGAATAAAAGGTATATGACTCATAACTCATGACTCATGACCATCAATTCACAACAAACGTTTAACTCCAGCTCCAAGGGAATTCTCAAGTTTGTTGAGTGTCCATCACACCTACCACATCAAGGCTCCAACAAGAACGGGCCCAATGTCCTTCACAGGTCATAATACTATCATAATATCCATGAAGTTCGGAACATTTTGAAGAACACCTTGGCATCAGCATGGCACCAGGAGTCCTTGGGATGTGCTCCGAGGCTACCAGCTAGAATCCCCAGATCTCCCCCAGCAACCTGCACAGCTGTGGAGGCCAGGCGAATAGAAACAAAGTAGGAACGAAGTGTAGGCGGCCAGTCATTGCAGTCATTGCAGTGTAATCCGTTTCACTTGTCACTGTCTCGCTTGTCTCACTTGTCTCACTCAATGGACGGACCCCCAGGTGAGAGTCGAAGAGCTCGAGCAATCTCTGCATTTGCATTGCGCGTTCCTGAAGATCAGCTAAAACTTGGGACATCCCTTCATGGGGCAAATTACAGCCTTGTTTTGGGAGAAACATGAGAAAGATTGCATAAAATGCCGATCACATCCTATGACGTGGCAATCATGCACACGACATGCCTTTATTATAGCCAGGATCTGGGTGCTATACAAGGACTGGAAAAGGTTGGACTATATCAGAGAACCACTGAGCAAAAGACGCTATGAACGCATAAAACGATGGCTGGTTTTCCAAAGAATCAAAAAGATTCAAAAGATCAATCGTAGATCTTGCATCCAAGATTTTCATATACTGTATATATATATACATACATACATAGATACATACATAATATAACATAGACCCGGGCAAGCCGGTGGCGGAAGTTTCCCAAACATAAATGACCTATAGTTCAAAGACACCCTGTCCCGACCGTGTCCTTCCCTCGACAACCGTTTGATTTTTTCAGCGAGAGACGAAGCAAAGTCTTCACACTCAACACTCCACACTTCACACTGCACTCTTCGCACTCCAAACTTCAAACTTCACACTCCACACTTCACACTTCACACTTCTCGCTGCTTCCTTCACACTCCAAACCTCACACTTCACACTTCACACTTCACACTGCGCTCTTCGCACTCCAAACTGAAACTTCACACTCCACACTTCACACTCCACACTTCACACTTCACACTTCACACTTCTCACTTCTCACTGCTTCCTTCACACTCCAAACCTCACACTTCACACTTCACACTTCACACTGGGCTCTTCGCACTCCAAACTGAAACTTCACACTCCACACTTCACACTCCTTCCCACTGCTTCCTTCACACTTCACACTTCACACTGCACTCTTTACGCCCCACACTTCCCACTGCTCTAAACCTACGTGCAACAAAAAAACACTAGCGCCAAAATGGAGAAAATCTGCTGACAAATCACTGTCGCAGCCTTCATGCAGCCACTCCAATACGATTTACGAAGTCCAGCTGCAAAAGACAATAGTATTACGCATGCAGCCACAGCACGAAGCAACCTTGACGCAGCCATTACAATGCGATCTGCGGAGACTGAGTTGCAAAACACAAGAGAACTACGCGCAATGGCGTCGGAAATTGTAGCTCCAAAACCGGATCTCGACGCCAGAGCGAAAAAAAGACGATTTTGAAGCACTTTTTAAAAGGATTTTTAGAAGGAAAATCATTAGCGCCAAAATGGAGAAAATCTGCTGACAAGTCAGCCACAGCATGAAGCAACCTTGACGCAGTTATTACAATGTGATCTGCGGAGACTGAGTTGCGAAACACAATAGAACTACGCGCAACGGTGTTGGAAATTGTAGCTCCAAAACCGGATCTCGACGCCAGAGCGAAAAAAAGATGATTTTGAAGCACTTTTTAAAAGGATTTTTAGAAGGAAAATCACTAGCGCCAAAATGGAGAAAATCTGCTGACAAATCACTGTCGCAGCCTTCATGCAGCCACTCCAATACGATTTACGAAGTCCAGCTGCAAAAGACAATGGTATTACGCATGCAGCCACAGCACGAAGCAACCTTGACGCAGCCATTACAATGCGATCTGCAGAGACCGAGTTGCAAAACACAATAGAACTACGCGCAACAGCGTCGGAAATTGCAGCTCCAAAACCGGGGATCTCGACGCCAGAGCGGAAAAAAGACGATTTTGAAACACTTTTTAAAAGGATATTTAGAAGGAAAATCACTAGCGCCAAAATGGAGAAAAACATGGGGTTTCGTGCATCGACGTTCGAGGACGGACTTTGTATGGAAAAACATAGGGTTTCGTGCATCTGCTATCTCTCAAAAACGCATTTCGTGCGAGACTTCCTTCAAAACTCCATCGGCAACTCATCCACCAGCACCACTTGCAATCCCATTT